ACTCATTTCCTTCTGAAATGTACACGGTGTCGGAGAAAATTGGTTTATTCATGAAACTTTTTCTGTTTATAACTTTTTTATAAACAATGAGCGACGGCTAAAAGCTTCATATTGTTACTCAGNAAGGTAATCTTAATAACATATGTGAAAAAGAAGCCGATCGGAGGGGGCTCCCCTATTCTGTACATTTACCGAGAAAAGGATATTTAAATAAGTTTCAATTACATATTAATGGTAAAAATAAAATACTTTATTTGGCAGAATCACAAAGAATACCACCATTTGTTGCAAGGNCAAGGAAAACTGCCAAAACCTTACTAGTATTCATAAAATAAAAGTATTTTACATGATCACAGTAGAATAATCACAAAAAATCGCAGGAATTCTAATAATTGTTAAAAAAACATTTTTTTATATCTTTTCAAAAGTAACAAAAAATAAATTTTAACATTAAATACATTTATATTTTATAATATATAAAATTATACTCTAATTTTAGTATCTAATTTGTATTTTACAATAAAAAATAAATTTTCTTATTATAATGAATAAACTAATAAGTATTATAAATAAAGATCTAAATAAATAAAACTAAATATTGCACAAATGCAGGTACAAATGATTTGCTGAAAGAAACGTGGTTAATTTGTACATAATAACTACCATGGAATAAGTATTGTAAACGTGACTCTAATTTTGTTAAGAAAAAATTTATCCTGAAAGAAAAATATAAATAAAAATAATATTCTAAATAAACAATTATATTATAAAACAACAAGACTAAAAAATATTAAACACCATCAGATAAACTGCAATCATATTGTTTCATATATAAATTTTGCAAGTTATGCAATTCTAAATGTCTCGAATCAACTTTAAAATTAATACAATTAATGCCTTCANCCTGTAAACTAGATCGAACAATGCTAATCGCGGAAAGAGTATTAATTGATAATCAATTTTGTTTTTTAGTTTTTACATCTGTTACGATAGAAAACATTCGTTCGGCTTCGGCATTTGAATGGGGAAAAGAAAGGATTTCTTGTACTAATAATTCTAAATTTGNAAAAACTTTTTCCCCATTAAAATTTTTATGTTTTAAAATTGTTAACCACATTTGATCAATTTCTAAAGAAGACAATTCTTGTTTTTGTGATTTATTAAAAAATGATGGCAAAATTCTCTAGTCGAACGCTAATTTTGTTATGTCTATATTTGCGATACGGTTAACCACACAAGTTAAATCTCTAAATAAATCATAAGGCCGATACGAGCAGTAAAATACAGGTTGGTCGTGTATAAAAAGTTGTCTTTATTCAATAAATAGACGTTTCGGTCACACAAGTTTGGACCTTCTTCAGTATGAAAAAGTTATAGTCTAACAAGAAAAAATAAAAAAATAAACAATAAATAAAATAAGCGCAAAGCAAACATCATAGTAGATTGAAAATAACATATTAATAAAACTCACACACCCACACACTCAAATAAGAAAAAACATTTCAGTTCACTACATCACTAACAGATAAATGAAATGATGTCAATAAATTACAATAATATAATGTGTACTGGCAAGAAAACATAAAACAGCAATATATATATAGATATCCCCACTATCAGATCAGAAGATCAAAAGGTTCACAATAAGTCGAAAAACATGTTTACACATTAAATACAAAAGTAACGGTCTAAACTTTTGATTTATACAATTCTAAAAAGGGAAAGTAAAGTTTTAGCTTGTCAGTGTCCGACATTACATTTATCGGATTGTTTTGTAACTTG